AACGACGGTGACGACGGTGACGATGGCGACGACGACGACGATGGCGACGATGATGACGGCGATGACGACGATGACGACGGTGATGACGGCGATGCGCTCCACCTCGACGCTGCCCGACATCGCCGCCTCCTCGCTCGCTCGCTCGATGCACTTATTTGCTCGGTGAGTCCCGGATCATCGCTCGGCCTGACTGGGAGACCGAGTGGAGCTGGAGACGTTGAAACTTGGCACGTCCTCGGCTTCCGCGGCCTTTGTTATTCGCAATCAATGTTGACCGCGTGAATATTAATGTTGAAGTTCACCCAACACCACCCGATCAGCGAGGTTTGTCACATCAACAGAACGTGCCAAGTGCGTAGAATTCCACGGTTAGCATGATCGGGGGTCGTCTGATCGATTTGATCTGCCCGTGCGGCAGGTGAACCTCCGTGTGAGTGGAAGACTAGGCCAAAGTACCTCCATCCGGGGGGGGGGCTGTCTGGAGCTCCCTCTAGTGGAGGACCTTCCGCTAGCCGTCTGGCGTGAGTGAGAAAATCGCATTTTTTTTGCGCTCGTGCCCAAAGAATTGGCCACAAACAACTTCCTTCCAAGCGCCGAGTAAGAAGAAGTAGAAGACAAAAAAAATAATTGGCAAAACAACTTTGCGCAAAAGAGTCACGTGACAACAGCAAAGAACCCGACGAGCACTTTGAAGGACTGCTGGGACCTTTTTTTTTTACACGTCGAAATAATAAATGGCCATCGCGATTAATGGCAATTAGCCCTCGACCCCGCGCTCTCTCGCAAGACGGAGGCCGTCGCCTTCGCAAGGACGGACTCCGCATATGAGCGCAGAATTTGGCGGTTGTGCCAGACGGCGAGACATGTTTTATATATATATTTTTGTAACCTTTATAACAACAAAAACAGTCTACACATCGTTTCCAATGTATTTTTAAATGGACCCCTTTTTTCCACCCTCTTCCCCCTCCGCCTCCAAACCATCCAGCAACCCCAATGGTCCCGCCACGTCAACTCCAATCGCGAAACGCACAACTCTCACTCCGCACGCAAGCTGCGGATTTAATAAGGGCAGCCCCCCCCCCCCTCACCCCCCAACCCTTGCCCCCCCCTCCGCCCCACCGCTTTAAGAATTCCTAAACACCAAAGGGGGTTGGTGTTTTATTTTCTCCCTCTTCAATTCTCCAGCGAAGAACAGTGGGAGCGCGACGGTAGACACCGCCGTAGTCGGGACGCTCACCTCGACTCACGGTCCTGCGTGGCTTCATCGCAAAGCAACGAGCAACAATCAGACCGCCACTGTCGACTGCCGTGATCTACCACCCTGGTGTGTTGTCCTTCGCCCCCACGCCCCCGACGCACCTCCGATAAGAATTATCACGATCATTATTATTATTATCGTGATAATACTTATCACGATCATTATTATCACGATAACGTGTTTAAAGTGACACTGATGGTCACCTGTTTACCGTGACGCTGGTGACCACGTGTTTAAAGTGACACTGATGGTCACCTGCTTACCGTGACGCTGGTGACCACGTGTTTAAAGTGACACTGATGGTCACCTATTTACCGTGACGCTGGTGACCACCTGTTTAAAGTGACACTGATGGTCACCTGTTTACCGTGACGCTGGTGACCACGTGTTTAAAGTGACACTGATGGTCACCTGCTTACCGTGACGCTGGTGACCACGTGTTTAAAGTGACACTGATGGTCACCTGTTTACCGTGACGCTGGTGACCACGTGTTTAAAGTGACACTGATGGTCACCTGTTTACCGTGACGCTGGTGACCACGTGTTTAAAGCGACACTGATGGTCACCTGTTTACCGTGACGCTGGTGACCACGTGTTTAAAGTGACACTGATGGTCGCCTGCTTACCGTGACGCTGGTGACCACGTGTTTAAAGTGACACTGATGGTCACGTGTTTACCGTGACGCTGGTGACCACGTGTTTAAAGTGACACTGATGGTCACCTATTCACCGTGACGCTGGTGACCACGTGTTTAAAGTGACACTGATGGTCACCTGTTTACCGTGACGCTGGTGACCACGTGTTTAAAGTGACACTGATGGTCACCTGCTTACCGTGACGCTGGTGACCACGTGTTTAAAGTGACACTGATGGTCACCTGCTTACCGTGACGCTGGTGACCACGTGTTTAAAGTGACACTGATGGTCACGTGTTTACCGTGACGCTGGTGACCACGTGTTTAAAGTGACACTGATGGTCACCTGTTTACCGTGACGCTGGTGACCACGTGTTTAAAGTGACACTGATGGTCACGTGTTTACCGTGACGCTGGTGACCACCTGTTTAAAGTGACACTGATGGTCACCTGTTTACCGTGACGCTGGTGACCACGTGTTTAAAGTGACACTGATGGTCACGTGTTTACCGTGACGCTGGTGACCACGTGTTTAAAGTGACACTGATGGTCACCTGTTTACCGTGACGCTGGTGACCACGTGTCTAAAGTGACACTGATGGTCACCTGTTTACGGTGATGCTGGTGGGCACGTGTTTACCATGACGTTGATGGTCACCTGTTTACGGTGACGCTGGTGGTCACGTGTTTAAAGTGACACTGATGGTCACCTGTTTACCGTGACGCTGGTGACCACGTGCTTAAAGTGACACTGATGGTCACCTGTTTACGGTGACGCTGGTGACCACGTGTTTTTACCGTGACGCTGGTGACCACGTGTTTAAAGTGACACTGATGGTCACCTGCTTACCGTGACGCTGGTGACCACGTGTTTAAAGTGACACTGATGGTCACGTGTTTACCGTGACGCTGGTGACCACGTGTTTAAAGTGACACTGATGGTCACCTGTTTACCGTGACGCTGGTGACCACGTGTTTAAAGTGACACTGATGGTCACCTGTTTACCGTGACGCTGGTGACCACGTGTTTAAAGTGACACTGATGGTCACCTGTTCACCGTGACGCTGGTGACCACGTGTTTAAAGTGACACTGATGGTCACCTGTTTACCGTGACGCTGGTGACCACGTGCTTAAAGTGACACTGATGGTCACCTGTTTACGGTGACGCTGGTGGTCACGTGTTTACCATGACGTTGATGGACTGCGTGGTGGGTCCCGCAGCCACGATGTACTCAAAGCCGTCCGAGAGCACGTTGGAGGGCCTCCGGTACTTGAAGACCGTCCCGGCCATGCGGAAATTCCTCGGGTTGTCCAGAATGAAGTTTCCGTTGATGAAGAAATTCCCAGAGTCGTCTGCAAGTGCTAATAAATAAAGTGCCACGCACAGAGAACATACAACGGGGGCGCCACGGGGGCGAGATGTTAACTACCTCGCCTGGTATGCAGGAGGTTGTGGGTCCAATACTGACCCGGATGCTTACTGTATATTTGGAGTTTTCGTGTCTCTCTCTCATCATCACGGTGGCTAGGGGATGTTAACTACCTCGCCTGGTGTACAGGAGGTTGTGGGTTCAATACCGACCCTGATATCAGCTGTGTATTTGGAGTTTGCGGTGTCTCTCTCCCCATGGTTCGCGCGGATTTTTCTCCGGGTTCTCCGTGTTTTTCCCTCCACATTTAGAAGCAACGTCACGCGTTTAGAGTATTTGTCTGCCAATAATGTCCACGCGATAAGCCACTTTGTTGAGCTATCATTTGTGGTCAGCTCGCTTATGAAAAAAGAGAGCTATATCGCTCAGTGGGCCTTACCTGGCAAAATAGAATGTTTAGTTTAGTCTGTTTTACAAAGGTCCCCTGTGTAGCCTTAACAGACTGTGGGGGAAAGTGCTGTTAGCGAGTAGCACCTATGAAAGCAGGCACAGCACACGAGATGGTGGGTGATCAGCACCGTGCCTGGCTGCCTTTGTCTTCCCAGTGGCGATGTTTGCACACCATAGCAGGTACGTATTCTTAAGGCTGAGTTGGCCTAGGGTTGGCCGTGCACCGGTAAAGACCTTTGTAACTGACGTTGGCCATGAGTGGCAATCGAACCCGGGTCGTTGGACTCGTAGTGCAGCGCATTAACCACTGCGCCATGGCTCCCCACCCACATCCACACACGTGATAATACGTGATGCTGCTGCTGCTGCTGGTGATGATGATCGTGATGATACTGCTGCTGATAATAATGACGACAATGTTGATGACGACAATTATGCTGCTGCTTCTGGTAATGCTGACGTGTGCCGCTGCTGATGAGTGTTATGCTGCTGCTGCTAACGATGATGATGATGCAATATCTGCCGCTAATGATGACAATGACGGTGATAACAATTCTGAAGCTTCCGCTGCTGCTGTGTGATGAAGATGAGTTACCAAGGACATTGTCCGAGCGTTTCTTTTCGATGACCTGGATGTCGGTGGCGCCGATCGGGACGTTGGTCACATAGACATAGCCTGCACACACGCACAAAGATAAACAAAGATCCCCCATATAGCCTTAACAGACTGTCGGGGCAAGTGCTGTTAGCGAGCACCTATGAAGGCCGGAACGGTACACGAGGGGGTGGGTGGCCAGCACCACGCCCGACCGCCTTTGTCTCCCTAGTGGCAATGTTTACACACTGCACCAGGTACTCATTTGAGGCTGAGTCGACCTAGGGGAGGCCCGGGACCGGTTCAGATAATCGTCACTGGTGTTGGCCGTGAGCGGGAATCGAACCCGGGTCCCCAGGTTCACAGCGCAGCGCGCTAACCGCTACACTATCGCTCCCCACACACGCACACACACATACGGACACACACACACACAAAGTGCAAATCGCATGCAAGAGAGGGGTGACCCACTTAGGCAACAGCTGCTTTTGTTAAACTGCCCAATTTTTTTTGGCTCTATCTCTCTTTCCCTCCCTCTCTCTCTCCTCTCTCTCCTTGGCGTGGCTGACCTGTCAGCTGGCTGGCTGGCACACTCAAACACAAAGTGCCTTTGAGTTTATAATTCGCATACTTTCGCAAGCTGTAGAAAAAAAATGACAACCGAAATAAAATGAACATTAAAATCAATATAACGACCGCTGACAAAACGCCAGTGTTTCCTCATTTACAAGGGAGGGAGGGAGGGGTAACTGGAGGATCAAGAGGATTTTGCCAAGCACCACCTCCCCCCCCCCCCCCCGTCTGGAATGACAAAAACTCACTGCCCGGTTTCCAATCCACGTTGTTTCATTCAAATAGCTGCCACTTTATCCCCACTTGTAAATCCTTCAAGAATATATAATAAAACCCCATCCCCTCCCACACTCACACACACACAATGCAAACGATACAATTAATATTCTTAGTTTTTTCGGTAAAGTCACGTTGAAGAGAAACAACAAAATAACAAAATATATATAAAACAATAAAAAATTCTCACGACGTTTCGACCATAACTCAAACGGTCATCATCAGGTGAGAATTTTTTATTGTTTTATATATATTTTGTTATTTTGTTGTTTCTCTTCAACGTGACTTTACCGAAAAAACTAAGAATATGAATTACTGCAGTCACGAAAGCTTTAAATCAAAAGATACAATTAATGTCAGCCATGATCCAACTAAGCAAGCAGGCATTGGTGCTCCACTCCCGTCTACAGCCCTGCAGAGCCAGCGGTGGAAGTTCCACATTTCCATGGCAGGGGCAAGTGTATTATCCGTGACCGCCACTTCCCAGCGAAGTGGCTCTCGTATGATCGAGCACGGAATCGGCGATGGGTCGCGTTAACCCCGAACCGGGGTATGAACTCCGCCGTGCGGCCCAGTGGTCAATCCACTGCCGGACGAAGGCCAGGATACACCCCACCAAGAAACGAATCCTACTCACATCCATCGGTGACAAATCGTAGCAGTTCACGCCGACATTTAAGCACGAGGCGATTGTGAGAGAATCGCATGGATCGCACGACTACACCCACGGCAAGGGGCTTCTTTCAACAAATTGATGTTGGAATAATGCGGCATCGGTGCAACGGCTGTGACACTCACCGGTATCGTTACTGATTCCACACTCGCCGTGACACTCACTGATATCGTTACTGATTCCACACTAACTGTGACACTCACCGATATCGTTACTGATTCCACACTCGCTGTGACACTCACTGATATCGTTACTGATTCCACACTAACTGTGACACTCACCGATATCGTTACTGATTCCACACTCGCCGTGACACTCACTGATATCGTTACTGATTCCACACTAACTGTGACACTCACCGATATCGTTACTGATTCCACACTCGCTGTGACACTCACTGATATCGTTACTGATTCCACACTCGCCGTGACACTCACCGATATCGTTACTGATTCCACACTCGCTGTGACACTCACTGATATCGTTACTGATTCCACACTCGCCGTGACACTCACCGATATCGTTACTGATTCCACACTCGCTGTGACACTCACCGATATCGTTACTGATTCCACACTCGCCGTGACACTCACCGATATCGTTACTGATTCCACACTAACTGTGACACTCACCGATATCGTTACTGATTCCACACTCGCCGTGACACTCACTGATATCGTTACTGATTCCACACTCGCTGTGACACTCACCGATATCGTTACTGATTCCACACTCGCTGTGACACTCACCGATATCGTTACTGATTCCACACTCGCCGTGACACTCACCGATATCGTTACTGATTCCACACTAACTGTGACACTCACCGATATCGTTACTGATTCCACACTCGCTGTGACACTCACCGATATCGTTACTGATTCCACACTAACTGTGACACTCACCGATATCGTTACTGATTCCACACTCGCTGTGACACTCACCGATATCGTTACTGATTCCACACTTGCTGTGACACTCACCGATATCGTTACTGATTCCACACTCGCCGTGACACTCACTGATATCGTTACTGATTCCACACTAACTGTGACACTCACCGATATCGTTACTGATTCCACACTCGCCGTGACACTCACTGATATCGTTACTGATTCCACACTAACTGTGACACTCACCGATATCGTTACTGATTCCACACTCGCTGTGACACTCACCGGTATCGTTACTGATTCCACACTCGCTGTGACACTCACTGATATCGTTACTGATTCCACACTCGCTGTGACACTCACCGATATCGTTACTGATTCCACACTCGCTGTGACACTCACTGATATCGTTACTGATTCCACACTCGCTGTGACACGCACTGATATCGTTACTGATTCCACACTCGCTGTCACACTCACCGATATCGTTACTGATTCCACACTAGCCGTGACACTCACCGATATCGTTACTGATTCCACACTCGCCGTGACACTCACCGGTATCGTTACTGATTCCACACTCGCTGTGACACTCACCGATATCGTTACTGATTCCACACTAACTGTGACACTCACCGATATCGTTACTGATTCCACACTCGCTGTGACACTCACCGATATCGTTACTGATTCCACACTAACTGTGACACTCACCGATATCGTTACTGATTCCACACTCGCTGTGACACTCACCGATATCGTTACTGATTCCACACTTGCTGTGACACTCACCGATATCGTTACTGATTCCACACTCGCCGTGACACTCACTGATATCGTTACTGATTCCACACTAACTGTGACACTCACCGATATCGTTACTGATTCCACACTCGCCGTGACACTCACTGATATCGTTACTGATTCCACACTAACTGTGACACTCACCGATATCGTTACTGATTCCACACTCGCTGTGACACTCACCGGTATCGTTACTGATTCCACACTCGCTGTGACACTCACTGATATCGTTACTGATTCCACACTCGCTGTGACACTCACCGATATCGTTACTGATTCCACACTCGCTGTGGCACTCACTGATATCGTTACTGATTCCACACTCGCTGTGACACGCACTGATATCGTTACTGATTCCACACTCGCTGTCACACTCACCGATATCGTTACTGATTCCACACTAGCCGTGACACTCACCGATATCGTTACTGATTCCACACTCGCTGTGACACTCACCAACATCGTTACTGATTCCACACTCGCTGTGACACTCACCGATATCGTTACTGATTCAACACTCGCTGTGACACGCACTGATATCGTTACTGATTCCACACTCGCTGTGACACTCACTGATATCGTTACTGATTCCACACTCGCTGTGACACTCACTGATATCGTTACTGATTCTACACTAACTGTGACACTCACCGATATCGTTACTGATTCCACATTCGCTGTGACACTCACTGATATCGTTACTGATTCCACACTCGCTGTGACACTCACCGGTATCGATACTGATTCCACACTCGCTGTGACACTCACCGGTATCGATACTGATTCCACACTCACTGTGACACGCACCAACATCGTTACTGATTCCACACTCGCCGTGACACTCACCGATATCGTTACTGATTCCACACTAACTGTGACACTCACCGACGTCGTTACTGATTCCACACTCGCTGTGACACTCACCGATATCGTTACTGATTCCACACTCGCCGTGACACTCACTGATATCGTTGCTGATTCCACACTCGCTGTGACACTCACCGATATCGTTACTGATTCCACACTCGCTGTGACACTCACCGACGTCGTTACTGATTCCACACTCACCATGACACTCACCATGACACTCACCGATATTGTTACTGATTCCACACTCACTGTGACACGCACCAACATCATTACTGATTCCACACTCGCTGTCACACTCACTGATATCGTTACTGATTCCACACTCGCTGTGACACTCACCAACATCATTACTGATTCCACACTCGCCGTGACACTCACCGACGTCGTTACTGATTTTGCGGTAGTTCCCGGTCACTCGCAAGCAGCTGCTGCTGTCGCCCCCGCAAACGCCGCACTTGTCGATCCGCTTTGAGGAATAGAGAACGCCGTCACATCCCACGACCTGCAGGAGGCACAAAACCACAGGAGCGGCGCTCTCAGCATCGTCGTCATCGGACTCTTCACGATGAGGCCGCGTCTCTGACGACCCTGCTGGTGGAAGGGCCCCCACTTAGAGACGGAGCTCAAAGTAGCCCCGTCGGTCAAATGTCTTGGAGGAGGCGGCAGTGCAACGCATTCCATTTCGTCGTCACATCGGCAAAATCGAGCGCTGTGGCGTTCTTCTACGCTCTGACGCCTCTGCCCCCACCCCGGCCCACCGACTTCCCCAACTCGAAGTGACCGGCGTGGAGTCTGGTGAAGTGACCACACGGACCGCGTGACGTGAGGAGTGCCGTCAGCCAACAGTGGATTGCCAACGAGGACTGTTTAAACTACGTCTTATCTTACCAGCCCACGGAGCTGTACAGCTTAGTCCTTTTATATAAGTGACCTGGCCACAAGTGGTAGCTCAACGAAGTGGCTTATTATTAAATACTCTGAGCGCACGTTGATTTTGAATGTGGAGGGAAGAAACTGGAGGACTCAGAAAAAAGTCCACGTGACCACGGGGAGAGAGACATGCAAACTCCAAATACACAGCAGGCGTCGAACCCACGACCTCCTGTAGACCAGGCGAGGTAGTTAACCTCTCGCCACCACGGCACGTTTATAGGGTTGCACGTTTATAGGGTTGCACGTTTATAGGGTTGCACGTTTATAGGGTTGCTACCTGTCAGGTTTGGCCCAGCCTAGTAGTCGATGTCTGTGTGTCTGGTGGCAGGAATGAATCTGCACCAAGGGCTGTTATCGCTGAACCTTCAACACTGCGACTTCGACCCTGAACGATGACAACGACGCTTGGCGAACGGAAAGGAGTTCACCATAAGTCACCAACAACCACCTCCCTCCTCGTGAGAGACCCGACGAGGAAGATCTTCCCTGAAGCTCATGGTGGTGGCCTCAACCACATCCACCACGCTAACCGTGGCAGGGGCAGATGCGGCTACACTCGACAATGATTCACAAATGGAAAATCAAAAACACTCCGGCAGTGTGCGGTGACTGCGGTCACACACAAAAGACCACGTAACATTTATTGGGTGTCCAAAATCCAACACACAACGGAGTGGTTTAGATTTTCCATCGGTGCATGGGACATACAGTACAGTATGTTCTCCTCCTATAACGCCACACGTTGTCTTGATATAACAGGAGGAGGTGTCGTCGTCGTCGTCATCGCAGCGACACTCCACTCCCCAACGTCATCATCGCAGCGACACTCCCCAAACGTCGTCATCGCAGCGACACTCCACTTCCCAAACGGCGTCATCGCAGCGACACTCCACTCCCCAACGTCGTCATCGCAGCGACACTCCACTCCCCAAACGGCGTCATCGCAGCGACACTCCCCAACGTCGTCATCGCAGTGACACTCCACTCCCCAACGTCGTCATCACAGCGACACTCCCCAAACGTCGTCATCGCAGCGACACTCCACTCCCCAAACGTCGTCATCGCAGCGACACTCCACTCCCCAACGTCGTCATCACAGCGACACTCCACTCCCCAAACGTCGTCATCACAGCGACACTCCACTCCCCAACGTCACTATCGCAGCGACACTCCACTCCCCAACGTCATCATCGCAGCGACACTCCCCAAACGTCGTCATCGCAGCGACACTCCACTCCCCAAACGGCGTCATCGCAGCGACACTCCCCAACGTCGTCATCGCAGTGACACTCCACTCCCCAACGTCGTCATCACAGCGACACTCCCCAAACGTCGTCATCGCAGCGACACTCCACTCCCCAAACGTCGTCATCGCAGCGACACTCCACTCCCCAACGTCGTCATCACAGCGACACTCCACTCCCCAAACGTCGTCATCACAGTGACACTCCACTCCCCAACGTCAATATCACAGCGACACTCCACTCCCCAAACGTCGTCATCACAGCAACACTCCACTCCCCTAACGTCGTCATCACAGCGACACTCCACTCCCCAACGTCGTCATCACAGCGACACTCCACTCCCCAACGTCGTCATCACAGCGACACTCCACTCCCCAACGTCGTCATCACAGCGACACTCCACTCCCCAACGTCGTCACCAGAGCGACACTCCACTCCCCAAACGTCATCGCAGCGACACTCCCCAACGTCGTCATCACAGCGACACTCCACTCCCCAACGTCGTCATCACAGCGACACTCCACTCCCCAAACGTCGTCATCACAGCGACACTCCACTCCCCAACGTCGTCATCACAGCGACACTCCACTCCCCAAACGTCGTCATCACAGCGACACTCCACTCCCCTAACGTCGTCATCACAGCGACACTCCACTCCCCAACGTCGTCATCACGGCGACACTCCACTCCCCAACGTCGTCATCACAGCGACACTCCACTCCCCAACGTCGTCATCACAGCGACACTCCACTCCCCAACGTCGTCATCACAGCGACACTTCACTCCCCAAACGTCATCGCAGCGACACTCCCCAACGTCGTCATCACAGCGACACTCCACTCCCCAACGTCGTCATCACAGCGACACTCCACTCCCCAACGTCGTCATCACAGCGACACTCCCCAACGGCGTCATCACAGCGACACTCCACTCCCCAAACGTCGTCATCACAGCGACACTCCACTCCCCAAACGTCGTCATCACAGCGACACTCCACTCCCCAAACGTCGTCATCGCAGCGACACTCCACTCCCCAACGTCGTCATCACAGCGACACTCCACTCCCCAAACGTCGTCATCGCAGCGACACTCCACTCCCCAACGTCGTCATCACAGCAACACTCCACTCCCCAAACGTCGTCATCACAGCGACACTCCACTCCCCAAACGTCGTCATCGCAGCGACACGCCACTCCCCAACGTCGTCATCACAGCGACACTCCACTCCCCCAACGTCATCATCACAGCGACACTCCACTCCCCAAACGGCGTCATCACAGCGACACTCCCCAACGTCGTCATCACAGCGACACTCCACTCCCCAAACGTCGTTATCACAGCGACACTCCACTCCCCTAACGTCGTCATCACAGCGACACTCCACTCCCCTAACGTCGTCATCACAGCGACACTCCACTCCCCAACGTCGTCATCGCAGCGACACTCCACTCCCCTAACGTTGTCATCACAGCGACACTCCACTCCCCAACGTCGTCATCGCAGCGACACTCCACTCCCCAACGTCGTCATTGCAGCGACACTCCACTCCCCAACGTCGTCATCGCAGCGACACTCCACTCCCCAACGTCGTCATCACAGCGACACTCCACTCCCCAACGTCGTCATCACAGCGACACTCCCCAACGTCGTCATCACACCGACACTCCCCAACGGCGTCATCACAGCGACACTCCACTCCCCAAACGTCGTCATCACAGCGACACTCCACTCCCCAAACGTCGTCATCACAGCGACACTCCACTCCCCAACGTCGTCATCGCAGCGACACTCCACTCCACAAACGGCGTCATGGCAGCGACACTCCACTCCACAAACGTCGTCATCACAGCGACACTCCACTCCCCAACGTCGTCATCGCAGCGACACTCCACTCCCCAAACGTCGTCATCGCAGCGACACTCCACTCCCCAACGTCGTCATCACAGCGACACTCCACTCCCCAACGTCGTCATCGCAGCGACACTCCACTCGCCAAACGTCGTCATCGCAGCGACACTCCACTCCCCAACGTCGTCATCACAGCGACACTCCACTCCCCAAACGTCGTCATCGCAGCGACACTCCACTCCCCAAACGTCGTCATCACAGCTACACTCCACTCCCCAAACGTCGTCATTGCAGCGACACGCCACTCCCCAACGTCGTCATCACAGCGACACTCCACTCCCCAAACGTCATCATCACAGCGACACTCCACTCCCCAAACGGCGTCATCACAGCGACACTCCCCAACGTCGTCATCACAGAGACACTCCACTCCCCAAACGTCGTTATCACAGCGACACTCCACTCCCCTAACGTCGTCATCACAGCGACACTCCACTCCCCTAACGTCGTCATCACAGCGACACTCCACTCCCCAACGTCGTCATCGCAGCGACACTCCACTCCCCTAACGTCGTCATCACAGCGACACTCCACTCCCCAACGTCGTCATCACAGCGACACTCCACTCCCCAACGTCGTCATCGCAGCGACACTCCACTCCCCAACGTCGTCATCACAGCGACACTCCACTCCCCAACGTCGTCATCACAGCGACACTCCCCAAACGTCGTCATCACAGCGACACTCCCCAAACGTCGTCATCACAGCGACACTCCACTCCCCAACGTCGTCATCACAGCGACACTCCCCAAACGTCGTCATCACAGCGACACTCCCCAAACGTCGTCATCACAGCGACACTCCACTCCCCAACGTCGTCATCACAGCGACACTCCACTCCCCAAACGTCGTTATCACAGCGACACTCCACTCCCCTAACGTCGTCATCACAGCGACACTCCACTCCCCAAACGTCGTCATTGCAGCGACACGCCACTCCCCAACGTCGTCATCACAGCGACACTCCACTCCCCAAACGTCATCATCACAGCGACACTCCACTCCCCAAACGGCGTCATCACAGCGACACTCCCCAACGTCGTCATCACAGAGACACTCCACTCCCCAAACGTCGTTATCACAGCGACACTCCACTCCCCTAACGTCGTCATCGCAGCGACACTCCACTCGCCAAACGTCGTCATCGCAGCGACACTCCACTCCCCAACGTCGTCATCACAGCGACACTCCACTCCCCAAACGTCGTCATCGCAGCGACACTCCACTCCCCAAACGTCGTCATCACAGCGACACTCCACTCCCCAAACGTCGTCATTGCAGCGACACGCCACTCCCCAACGTCGTCATCACAGCGACACTCCACTCCCCAAACGTCATCATCACAGCGACACTCCACTCCCCACACGGCGTCATCACAGCGACACTCCCCAACGTCGTCATCACAGAGACACTCCACTCCCCAAACGTCGTTATCACAGCGACACTCCACTCCCCTAACGTCGTCATCACAGCGACACTCCACTCCCCTAACGTCGTCATCACAGCGACACTCCACTCCCCAACGTCGTCATCGCAGCGACACTCCACTCCCCTAACGTCGTCATCACAGCGACACTCCACTCCCCAACGTCGTCATCACAGCGACACTCCACTCCCCAACGTCGTCATCGCAGCGACACTCCACTCCCCAACGTCGTCATCACAGCGACACTCCACTCCCCAACGTCGTCATCACAGCGACACTCCCCAAACGTCGTCATCACAGCGACACTCCCCAAACGTCGTCATCACAGCGACACTCCACTCCCCAACGTCGTCATCACAGCGACACTCCCCAAACGTCGTCATCACAGCGACACTCCCCAAACGTCGTCATCACAGCGACACTCCACTCCCCAACGTCGTCATCACAGCGACACTCCACTCCCCAAACGTCGTTATCACAGCGACACTCCACTCCCCTAACGTCGTCATCACAGCGACACTCCACTCCCCAAACGTCGTCATTGCAGCGACACGCCACTCCCCAACGTCCTCATCACAGCGACACTCCACTCCCCAAACGTCATCATCACAGCGACACTCCACTCCCCAAACGGCGTCATCACAGCGACACTCCCCAACGTCGTCATCACAGAGACACTCCACTCCCCAAACGTCGTTATCACAGCGACACTCCAATCCCCTAACGTCGTCATCACAGCGACACTCCACTCCCCTAACGTCGTCATCACAGCGACACTCCACTCCCCAACGTCGTCATCGCAGCGACACTCCACTCCCCTAACGTCGTCATCACAGCGACACTCCACTCCCCAACGTCGTCATCACAGCGACACTCCACTCCCCAACGTCGTCATCGCAGCGACACTCCACTCCCCAACGTCGTCATCACAGCGACACTCCACTCCCCAACGTCGTCATCACAGCGACACTCCCCAAACGTCGTCATCACAGCGACACTCCCCAAACGTCGTCATCACAGCGACACTCCACTCCCCAACGTCGTCATCACAGCGACACTCCCCAAACGTCGTCATCACAGCGACACTCCCCAAACGTCGTCATCACAGCGACACTCCACTCCCCAACGTCGTCATCACAGCGACACTCCACTCCCCAAACGTCGTTATCACAGCGACACTCCACTCCCCTAACGTCGTCATCACAGCGACACTCCACTCCCCTAACGTCGTCATCACAGCGACACTCCACTCCCCAACGTCGTCATCGCAGCGACACTCCACTCCCCAACGTCGTCATCACAGCGACACTCCACTCCCCAACGTCGTCATCGCAGCGACACTCCACTCCCCAACGTCGTCATCACAGCGACACTCCACTCCCCAACGTCGTCATCACAGCGACACTCCCCAAACGTCGTCATCACAGCGACACTCCCCAAACGTCGTCATCACAGCGACACTCCCCAAACGTCGTCATCACAGCGACACTCCACTCCCCAACGTCGTCATCACAGCGACACTCCCCAAACGTCGTCATCACAGCGACACTCCCCAAACGTCGTCATCACAGCGACACTCCACTCCCCAACGTCGTCATCACAGCGACACTCCCCAAACGTCGTCATCACAGCGACACTCCCCAAACGTCGTCATCACAGCGACACTCCACTCCCCAACGTCGTCATCACAGCGACACTCCCCAAACGTCGTCATCACAGCGACACTCCCCAACGTCGTCATCACAGCGACACTCCACTCCCCTAACGGCCGTAGGAAGCCGGTCGACTGCTGCACCTCGCGTGCCGCCCGATCCACGACAACCTCCCGGATTGCTCGGCAGAAGAAACCTGCCTGAGGCTCTGCCGCGTGAGCCTTCCCGCGACCTCCCCGCGACCTTCCTGCGACCTTCCCGCGACCTCCCCGCGACCTTCCTACCACCTTCCTGCGACCTTCCTGCCACCTTCCCGCGACCTTCCCGCAACCTTTCTGCGACCTTCCCGCGACCTCCCCGCGACCTTCCTGCGACCTTCCCGCGACCTCCCCGCGACCTTCCTACCACCTTCCTGCGACCTTCCCGCGACCTCCCCGCGACCTTCCTATCACCTTCCTGCGACCTTCCTGCCACCTTCCCGCGACCTTCCCGCGACCTTCCCGCGACCTTCCTGCGACCTCCCCGCGACCTTCCTGCGACCTTCCTGCGACCTCCCCGCGACCTTCCTATCACCTTCCTGCGACCTTCCTGCCACCTTCCCACGACCTCCCCGCGACCTTCCCGCGACCTTCCCGCGACCTCCCCGCGACCTCCCCGCGTCGTGAATCCACTACCGGTGGCGGGACTCTTCGCGCCGTGCGGGTCACCGGTGCGGGTCACCGGTGCGGGTCACGTGACCCGGTGCGGGTCACGTGACCCGGTGTGGGTCACGTGACCCGGTGCGGCGCGTCGATTTTGTCTCCGGGTTTTTCCTCCCTCCGCGTTGGGGACGGCTATCGACGCGTTTTAGAGCATTTGTCTGCGGCTGTAAAATGTCCACGTGACGTCGACAAGCCACTTCGTTGAGCTAATCGTCTGCGGTGGCCGGGTCGCTTCTGAAACAAAGACAGAGCCTCCCGTAGCTCGGGCGGGCCTCGCCTGGGTAAAACGAACACGCGAAATACGCTTTGACTTTTAAAAAACTTCGCCGCCGGTGCGAGGCTGCGCTCGTGAAATCAAACTGGACGAGGGAGTGTCCGTGCCGGCGGGCCCCCACCTCGCACTTCCCGGCGATGCAGACGCCGCGGAAGTTCCTGTCCTTGCACGACGTGCCGTCCCGCGCCCTCGTGATGAGCTGCCTCTCCCCGTTGGCCGTGGTGCACTGCAGGTCGCACGGCTTGTTCGAGATGTTGATGTAGTCGTCTGCGCGCGGGAGACGGCGGCACGGAGCGATAAAGCGGACGCGGGCGGGAGGGCGCCGTGAGACTTTGAAACGAAGACGAGGAGGGTCCCCCCCCATCCCATCGCGCCGGCGTGTCGCCTGAGCTGACCTGCTGCAGGAGTCCAGCGCTGCGAGCGAGCGAGTGCTCGCTCACAGATGCGTCACGTAGAGACAAAGATTCCACCCGTGTAGCCTTCAACAGGCTGTAGGGGCAAGTGCCGTTAGCGAGCAGCACCTGTGAAGTTCGGCACTGTGGCACACGAGGGGGTGGGTGGCCAGCACCACGCCCGGCCGCCTTTGTCTCCCCAGTGGCGATGTTTACACACCGCACCGGGTACTCATTTCAGGCCGAGTGGACCTAGCGGAGGCCCATGGCCGGTTCAGATAATCGTCACCGGTGCTGGCATTGAGCGGTAATCGAACTCTGGTCGCCGGGTTCGTAGAGCAGCATAGCGCTCACCGCTACGCTACCGCGTCCCACACCCCACACACCACACACACACCACATTACACACACACACCACATTACACACACACACCACACCACACACACACACCACACACATACCACACTACACACAAAAACACCACACACACACTACACACACACACACCACACAAACACACCACACACACCACACTACACACACACACCACACCACACACATACCACACTACACACAAACACACCACACACACACTACACACACACACCACAAACACACCACACTACACACACACCACACACATACCACACTACACACAAACACACCACACACACACTACACACAAACACACCACACACACACTACACACACACACCACAAACACACACCACACTACACACCACACACACCACACCCCACACACCACACCCCACATGCACACCACACACACACCACACTACACACACACCACACTACACAAACACCACACACACACCACACTAAACACACACCACACACACCACACTACACACACCACACACACACCACACACACACCACACTACACACACACCACAACAACAACAACAACCGCCATTCGCCACTAAGTGGCGGTGACGTCACCACGACGCTTGTGCCAGGCTATGTGCACCCTGAGGCCACGTGAAGTGTCGAACGCCCGCTGGCAGGAGGTCACGGGGCAGACCCAGGTGCCACGGGTCGACTGACTGAGATGACTGGCTGATGCACCACCTGTGCCCCCTACTGTGCCAACCTGCTGTGCTTTAGCCACCCGGCGCTCCGCTCGTTGTTGTGAGCGTCGCTCCTCCGCCCTCCGTTGTTGTTGGAGGGCGACTACCTCCAACTGCCCAGTAGCATCCTTCACGAGCCTCCTCCACAGAGGCCGATCTTGACACCGCTGGTACCAGTCATCGGCAAGTCCACTCAGCTCCACGTCCTCCTGTACCACATCACTCCATCTCTTCTCTAGCCCGTGCGGCGCCCGCTTTGCCCCCTCAATCCGGCCGAACAAAAGCTGTTTCGGCATGCGGTGGCTGGGCATGCGGGCTACATGACCCAGCCATCGCAGCCTTGCCCGCCGGAGGAGCTCACCAATGGGACCTTGCCCAGATCTTTCAAGGATTTGTGAGCTCCTCACACAATCCAGCCTGGTTAAACCCAGGATGGATCGTAGGCAGACCAGCCTAAATGTTTCTAACCGGCGAAGATGTTCCATTAGGGGGGTCCACGTTTCGCAAGTGTAGAGAAGGGAGGGAATAACCGTGGCCGAGAAGACCTGAAGCTTAGTGCGGAGCGACAGACCAGGTAGCTTCCACACAGCATTACGCAACCGATGAAAAGATATTGCCGCTCGACCGATTCGGAGTGAGACCTCTGCTGTTAAACTGGAGCCAGTCATAAGCACACTGCCCAGGTATGGGAAACTCTCCACTCTCTCCACAACTGCCCCATCACCGAACGGGAGTTGTGGGGGTGGAGTGTCCGATGGTACAAAATACCCAGGTAGGTGCTTAGTTTTGGTGGGGCTGATGGTAAGGCCCCACCTCTTAGTGGCACGCTCCAGTCTCAGCAGCAGCGTCTCCAACTCCTCCTCTGACTGAGCAGCTATTACCAAATCATCAGCATACATAACGTGGTTGAGCAATAGGGAGCCATCCCTTGACCGCACCCGGGCATCGATCAGCCTCCCATTATATCTGTACCAAATAGAGATTCCCCCGGTACAGCTATTGAAGGCTTCACGAACTACGTGGTCAAAATAGATGTTAAATAATGTGGGAGCCAGAGGACATCCCTGTCCCACCCCAAGGTGTACAGGGAATGGCTCTGACTCCAGGCCACGTAGTTTCACCCGGGCCCGTTCACCATCATGAAGGTCCTTAATGATCGTGAGCAGAGGGTCAGGGACTCCAAAAGCACGAAGAACAACCCAGAGCCCAGGCCTACTGATGGTATCATAGGCCTTGACCAGGTCAATAAAGCAGAGATGTAGGTCTTGCTGGAATTCCCTATACCTCTGCTGTAGCAGAGGGACAGAAAATATGGCATCTGTGCAGGACCCCCCTTTCCTGAAACCGCATTGGGGCTCCACAAGCCTCTCCTCAGCGTGCCTGGCAAGGCGATGTTGAATAATCCTTGCCAGGACCTTTCCCAGCACACTGAGGAGTGAGATGCCCCTGTAGTTGTTACAGTCTGTGCGGTCCCCCTTCTTAAAGAGGGGGACCACCAGGGAATCTTTCCAATCCTGCGGAACCCGTCCAGTGGTCCAGACTGTTGTTATGATGTCATATAGGGCAGTCCTCAACAGATGGCACCTCAGCCAGCCACTCATAGGGGGTGACTTCTTCCAATATTTGAGGCACTGCAGACTCAGCAGGGTCATCCCACTTTGTGCCACGATGTTTTCCTGGCTGAGGGATTTTCCCTCCCCCAGGACCTCACAGAAATGCTCAACAAATCTGCAAACCTGTTCCCTGGGGGTCTGAGATTGGATCACCGTTTTTTCCCCTAATGATGGTAATAGGTGTGGTGCTGCAGGTTACTTTTTTGATGGAGTTAAATAGAGATTTGTGATCGCGGGCCACTGAGGTAGACTCCATCTCCTCAGCAACCCGTGACCACCACCCATCCTTGCAACGCCTCACGGCTCTCCGAACCTCCGAGCGAAGGCTGCGGTAAGCCTCCTCATTCTCTGACCACACACACACACCACACTACACACACACACTACACACACCACACACTACACACACACTACACGCACACACACGACACCCACACTACACCCACACTACACAAACACATCACACACACACCACATCACACACAGACTACACACACACCCACACTACACAAATACACCACACACACACCACATCACACACACACCACATCACACACACACTACACACAAACACACCACATCACACACAATACACACACAAACACACCACATCACACACACTACACACACAAACACACCACACACACACCACACACACCACACACACCACACACACCCACACTACACACACACTACACACCACACACACCACACGCACGGGCAGTCACCTGGGTAAAAAGGAATCCACTGTAAATATTTGCCGTCGTACGGTTTGGAGTTGAAGACGGAGCATTGCTCCACGCGGAATCCGCGGCTGTTGGGCGGGCAGGGCTGCAACGAGATCGAGAGGCGAACACGGCGGGGCAGTTGACGCGACCATCTCGCTCACGACCTTCGACCAAGCGATCGTCAACCAAGAATCTCAGCAACGTGATGAGCTCGCAGCCGGCTCAAGCTCCACCACCCTCACCCCCCTCAACTCCCGGGTGCTGGGATCGCGCTGCTGCTGTTGCTGTCACCGTTCGAGAATCTCGCCCAGGTCCTGGAAGGAGGCTGAGCAAAACATCGCGGGCGTCCAACAACGGACAACTCCTCGTCCCAGAAACCCAGAAACATCGTGGAGCCTCCTGGCTCCGACTTTCTTCCTCCATGGAGACACCGGCGGTGAGTCACTTAGTAAGCCGCTGTTAGTGAGTCACCAGTAAGCCACCGTTAGTGAGTAACTAGTAAGCCACTGTTAGTGAGTCACTTAGTAAGCCGCTGTTGGCGAGTCACTGGTAAGCCACTGTTAGTGAGTCACTAGTAAGCCACTGTTAGTGAGTCACTTAGTAAGCCGCTGTTGGTGAGTCACTAGTAAGCCACTGTTAGTGAGTCACTAGTAAGCCACTGTTAGTGAGTCACTAGTAAACCACTGTTAGTGAGTCACTAGTAAGCCTCTGTTAGTGAGTCACTAGTAAACCACTGTTAGTGAGTCACTAGTAAGCCACTGTTAGTGAGCCACTGGTAAGCCACTGTTAGTGAGTCACTAGTAAGCCGCTGTTAGTGAGTCACTAGTAAACCACTGTTAGTGAGTCGCTAGTAAACCACTGTTAGTGAGTCACTAGTAAGCCACTGTTAGTGAGTCACTAGTAAATCACTGTTAGTGAGTCACTAGTAAGCCACTGTTAGTGAGTCACTAGTAAACCACTGTTAGTGAGTCACTAGTAAACCACTGTTAGTGAGTCACTAGTAAGCCGCTGTTAGTGAGTCACTAGTAAACCACTGTTAGTGAGTCACTAGTAAACCACTGTTAGTGAGTCACTAGTAAGCCACTGTTAGTGAGTCACTAGTAAATCACTGTTAGTGAGTCACTAGTAAGCCACTGTTAGTGAGTCACTAGTAAACCACTGTTAGTGAGTCACTAGTAAACCACTGTTAGTGAGTCACTAGTAAGCCACTCTTAGTGAGTCACTAGTAAACCACTGTTAGTGAGTCACTACTAAGCCACTGTTAGTGAGCCACTGGTAAACCACTGTTAGTGAGTCACCAGTAAACCACTGTTAGTGAGTCACTAGTAAGCCACTGTTAGTGAGTCACTAGTAAACCACTGTTAGTGAGTCACTAGTAAACCACTGTTAGTGAGTCACTAGTAAACCACTGTTAGTGAGTCACTTAGTAAGCCGCTGTTAGTGAGTCACTAGTAAGCCACTGTTAGTGAGTCACTAGTAAGCCACTGTTAGTGAGTCACTAGTAAACCACTGTTGGTGAGTCACTAGTAAACCACTGTTAGTGAGTTACTAGTAAACCACTGTTAGTGAGTCACTAGTAAGCCACTGTTAGCGAGTCACTAGTAAGCCACTGTTAGTGAGTCACTAGTAAACCACTGTTGGTGAGTCACTAGTAAGCCACTGTTAGTGAGTCACTAGTAAACCACTGTTGGTGAGTCACTAGTAAACCACTGTTAGTGAGTTACTAGTAAACCACTGTTAGTGAGCCACTAGTAAACCACTGTTAGTGAGTCACTAGTAAGCCACTGTTAGTGAGACACTAGTAAACCACTGTTAGTGAGTCACTAGTAAACCACTGTTAGTGAGTCACTAGTAAGCCACTGTTAGTGAGTCACTAGTTAACCACTGTTAGTGAGTCACTAGTAAACTACTTTTCTAAACAGTACTAAACCATATTCTTAGCTCTTTCGGTAAAGTCACGTTGAAGGGAAACAATAAAATATATATAAAACAATAAAAAATTCTCACGACGTTTCGACCATAACACAATCGGTCGTCATCAGGTGTGTCAGTTTGCATTAATTTGTTTATTTTTAAACGGTGTATTTATTTATAAAAAAAACGTCAGCGCCACGCGCAGCGATTTGGCAGTTTATTTAGAAGGACGAGTCCATCTATGTTCTGAAAAGAGGAGGGGGGAGACGAAAAATTAATGTATGCTGTCTGAAAGCCACTGTAAGCGTGAACAATCAATTAAGACCTGAAATGGTTTATCAAATATTTCCAATGATTGCTAAGCCAGAATCCATCTTCTCGGTTTAAATTGTCTCTGTGCTTGTATATGTGGATAGCCTCATGAACGAATCTCTCATGGTAGCCAGATGGCTTACAAAGAACCTCTGTCTTGGAAAAGTCAATGTCATGTGAGCCTATTGAATTATAACAATGATCTGCCACGGCCGAGATGTTGGTCCTACCGTGTTTAAGGTCTGCTTTGTGTTCACGAATGCGGTCCCAGACATGGCGTTTGGTTTCTCCAATGTAACTACTTCCACAGAGGCAACTTAGTTTGTAGACACCAGGGTACTGTATGTCCGGAATCACATCTTTTACAGACGGAACCAGATCACGGATTTTATGTAATGTGTTGAAACGGACCTGGATCTTGTGTTTATTCAAGATTTTGGAGATATTTTTTATAATCACCGCAATGTAGGGTAAAGTGATGGTTTTGAAAGGCTCCTCAAGAGGGTCCTTCTTCATGGTTTGAGTGATAGCTTTGCGGATTGTATAGTCGGAGTAACCATTAGCCTTAAGAGCTTGGTGTACGTGCTTGAGTTCACTGCCTATTTGTTCCTGGTTGGATATGCATTGGGCTCTATGATACAGAGTCTTGATGAGAGAATTCTTCTGTGATGGATGGTGGTGGGAATCCGGTTTCAGATAAGCATCCGTATGGGTAGCTTCCTGTAGACAGGGTGACTCATTAAACCATCAGGTCTCTTTTTAATTAGGACATCCAAAAAAGGTAGCTTGCCATCTTTTTCGACTTCCATGGTAAATCTGATGGCTGGGTGTATGGAATTGATGTGGTCAAAGAATTGGTCTAGAGCAGGCCGGCCATGTGGCCAGATGACAAAAGTGTCATCCACGTACCTCTTACATAAGGTTGGGCGCAGAGTGGCAGTCTGGATGGCGTCAGTCTCATATTTCTCCATGAAAATGTTATATCCGACCAGGAACACATATTTTATTGTTTTCCTTCAACGTGGCTTTACCGAAAGAGCTAAGAATATGAATTACTGCAGTCACGAAAGCTTTAAATCAGTACTAAACCACTGTCAACCCCTTACCAGTGCCCAACCTTATTACAGACCAATTCAGAGCTTATTGGTCACCCCGTGCCCTTATAAATCTCCACATTCATCCTACAAAGTCTCCATCACAACGTAGAAACACAAACAAACAAGACGAATGTTTTTTTCCTGTTTAGAAACGGCACTAATAATCCGTACTAAAACACTGTAGTAAACCACTAATAATCCGTACTAAAAGACTGTAGTAAACCACTAATACTCCGTACTAAAACACTGTAGTAAACCACTAATAAACCGTACTAAAACACTGTAGTAGACCACTAATAATCCGTACTAAAACACTGTAGTAGACCACTAATTATCCGTACTAAAACACGGTAGTAAACCACTAATAAACCGTACTAAAACACTGTAGTAGACCACTAATAATCCATAGTAAAACACTGCAGTAGACCACTAATAATCGGTACTAAAACACTGCAGTAAACCACTAATAATCCGTACTAAAACACTGTAGTAAACCACTAATAAATCGTACTAAAACACTGTAGTAAACCACTAATAATCCGTACTAAAACACTGTAGTAAACCACTAATAAACCGTACTAAAACACTGTAGTAAACCACTAATACTCCGTACTAAATCACTGTAGTAAACCACTAATAATCCGTACTAAATCACTGTAGTAGACCACTAATAATCCGTACTAAAACACTGTAGTAGACCACTAATACTCCGTACTAAAACACTGTAGTAAACTTCGATTTAAAGCTTTCGTGACTGCAATGATTCATCTTCTTTGGTTCTTTCGGTAAAGTCACGTAGAATGATAATAAAATAATAAATTGATAAAATAAAATAACACAATAATATTCTCACGACGTTTCGGCCACAACACAAGCGGCCTTCATCAGGTGAAGGGGGCGAGACTGTCTGGTAGGACAGCGCTGGAGTGAAAGAGCCACGTTCAGATAGGCCTTTAAGCTGTGTGAGAGGAACAAAGCGCCTTGACAAAGGAATTAGCATATAATTTAGCATTGAAATGGCTGAATGATTAGCTTGTGACTGGTCACAGAAATAGCTATGTTAAAAGTTAAAGCATACACACCCGCAGAGGCACCCATTGTTAAAGGAATTAGCATAGAATTTAGCATTGAAATAGCTAAGTTAAGGCATACACATCCTCAGAGGCACCCCTTGACAATGGAATTAGCATAGAATTTAGCATTGAGATAGCTGAGTGATTAGCTTGTACCTGCTGCAGAAATAGAGCTTGTACCTGCTGCAGAAATATCTACGTTAAAGTCAGAGCATACACATTCACCGAGGCCCTTAGTACAAATCAAACAGGAGAATTTAGCATTGAAATAACTAGGCGAATCCAGCATTGAAACAACTGAGTGATTAGCTAGTGACTGGTCACAGAAATGACTACACATCTGAGCTATTCACAGTACTATATAGTGAACCAATAAAAACTAAAATATAAATTACCTTCATGTTATCAATAAACTCTATATTCTCCAATCAGCTAAGCTACCAACAATAAGTCGTTATATATCACAATGCTATATGGCGAAAAAATGGGTGGATTCTTACCCTCAAATTTCAGCACCACGGATAGCTACGGGCCCCGTTCAGACGGACGAGTTCGTCCATGGTCGGAACAGAGGAGGGGGAGAGAGACAGCTGCGAGGCCCTAGTATGCCCCATGTTGTAAAACTATACCATTAACCGTGGTGTGAGAGGTATTAAGAGGCAATTCTGGCGAAAGAGCTGCGGTCTGAAGGTCATCGTAAAAATACAATTAATTAAGAACAGAAATGATTTAAAACATCTTTCCAGTGGTTACTAAGCCTGAATCCATCTTCTCGGTTGAAATTGTCTCTGTGCTTGTATATGTGAATGGCCTCATGAACGAATCTCTCATGGTAGCCGGTTGGTTTGCAAAGAACCTCTGTCTTGGAGAAGTCAATGTCATGTGAGCCCACTGAATTATAACAGTGATCTGCCACGGCAGAGGAGTTCGTCCTACCGTGTTTCAAGTCTGCTTTGTGTTCGCGGATGCGGTCCGAGATATGTCTTTTGGTTTCCCCAATGTAGCTACTACCACAGAGGCACTTTAGTTTGTAAACGCCCGGGTACTGTATGTCTGGAACAGCATCTTTTACAGATGGAACTAAATCACGGATTTTATGTACTGTGTTGAATCGGACCTGGATCTTGTGTTTGTTCAGGATTTTGGAGATCTTTTTAGTGACCCCTGCAATGTAGGGTAAGGTGATGGTTTTGAGTGGCTCCACAAGAGGATCCTTCTTCATGACTGGAGTGATGGCTTTGCGGATTGTGTAGTCGGAGTAGCCATTAGCCCTGAGAGCCTGGTGTACGTGCTTGAGTTCACTGGTAATGTGTTCCTGGTCGGAAATGCATTGGGCTCTATGGTATAGAGTTTTGATGAGGGAGTTCTTCTGGGATGGATGGTGGTGGGAATCCGGTTTCAAGTAAGCATCTGTATGGGTAGCTTTCCTGTAGACAGAGTGGCTCATTGAACCATCATGTCTCCTTTTAATTAATACTCCGTAATAAATCACTGTAGTAGACCACTAATAAACCGTACTAAAACACTGTAGTAAACCACTAATAATCCGTACTAAAACACTGTAGTAAACCACTAATAATCCGTACTAAAACACTAGTAGACCACTAATAATCCGTACTAAATCACTGTAGTAAACCACTAATAATCCGTACTAAAACACTGTAGTAAACCACTAATAATCCGTACTAAATCACTGCAGTAAACCACTAATAATCCGTACTAAAACACTGCAGTAAACCACTAATAATCCGTACTAAAACACTGTAGTAAACCACTAATTATCCGTACTAAAACACTGTAGTAGACCACTAATAATCCGTACTAAAACACTGTAGTAGACCACTAATAATCCGTACTAAAACACTGTAGTAGACCACTAATAATCCGTACTAAAACACTGTACTAGACCACTAATAATCCGTACTAAAACACTGTAGTAAACCACTAATAATCCGTACTAAAACACTGTAGTAAACCACTAATTATCCGTACTAAAACACAGTAGTAGACCACTAATAATCCGTACTAAAACACTGTAGTAGACCACTAATAATCCGTACTAAAACACTGTAGTAAACCACTAATAATCTGTACTAAAACACTGTAGTAAACCACTAATAATCCGTACTAAATCACTGTAGTAGACCACTAATAATCCGTACTAAAACACTGTAGTAAACCACTAATAATCTGTACTAAAACACTGTAGTAAACCACTAATTATCCGTACTAAAACACTGTAGTAAACCACTAATAATCCGTACTAAAACACTGTACTAGACCACTAATAATCCGTACTAAATCACTGTAGTAAACCACTAATTATCCGTACTAAAACACTGTAGTAAACCACTAATAAACCGTACTAAAACACTGAAGTAGACCACTAATAATCCGTACTAAATCACTGTAGTAAACCACTAATACTCCGTACTAAAACACTGTAGTAAACCCCTAATAATCCGTACTAAAACACTGTAGTAAACCACTAATAAACCGTACTAAATCACGATTTAAAGCTTTCGTGACTGCAATGATTCATCTTCTTTTGTTCTTTCGGTAAAGTCACGTAGAATGAGAATAAAATAATAAATTGATAAAATAAAATAACACAATGATATTCTCACGACGTTTCGGCCACAACACAAGCGGCCTTCATCAGGTGAAGGGACGAGACTGTCTGGTAGGACAGCGCTGGAGTGAAAGAGCCACGTTCAGATCAGGGCCTTTAAGCTGTGTGAGAGGAACAAAGCGCATTGACAAAGGAATTAGCATATAATTTAGCATTGAAATGGCTGAATGATTAGTTTGTGACTGGTCACAGAAATAGTTATGTTAAAAGTTAAAGCATACACATCCGCAGAGGCACCCCTTGACAATGGAATTAGCATAGAATTTAGCATTGAAATAGCTGAGTGATTAGCTTGTAACTGCTCACAGAAATAGCTACGTTAAAGTCAGACCATACACATTCACCGAGGCACTTAGTACAAATCAAACAGGAGAATTTAGCATTGAAATAACTAGGCGAATTTAGCATTGAAATAACTGAGTGATTAGCTAGTGACTGGTCACAGAAATGACTATGTTGAAGTCAGGGCCTACACATCTGAGCTAATCATTCAGCCATTTCAATGCTAAATTATATGCTAATTCCTTTGTCAAGGCACTTTGTTCCTCTCACACAGCTTAAAGGCCGTGATCTGAACGTGGCTCTTTCACTCCAGCGCTGTCCTACCAGACAGTCTCGTCCCTTCACCTGATGAAGGCCGCTTGTGTTGTGGCTGAAACGTCGTGAGAATATCATTGTGTTATTTTATTTTATCAATTTATTATTTTATTCTCATTCTACGTGACTTTACCGAAAGAACCAAAGAAGATGAATCATTGCAGTCACGAAAGCTTTAAATCGAAATTTAACCGCCTCTACGGGGAGGGATTCCACACATCCTTAAGATCATTCAACAGACTTCGGGATAAGAAGGCTCAACTAATCGAGTCTCTCACCTTTCTGAAGAGATGCCGCGACTCTAAGGTAATACCAACCGCATTTACACTAACCTCTGCTGTTGCAACTTCTCTCAATGCAAAACGAATTCTAGCTAGAACTAGCTTCGCTCTTATCTCGGAAAAAATCAGACTTACACGCACCGAACTCGATCAGTTAGACAAGACACTCTACAAATCACACTTAAAATTGACAGCAACAATGTCTACATCGGATTGGGAAAATGTAGACAATATGACTACCTCTTCGGCTGCCACTATGTCGAACAAATGTAGGGACAATTTGATTTCCAAATTCAATCACCTCTCCAGCAAAAAATCGGATCCACACACCGAAAAGATAGACGTCAACAAAGTCGTAATTAATCGCAGTAACAGTTCCATTTCTGATGGTCTGAAATCCGTTTTAGCTAAAGGTCTAAACTTTGCTGTCACACCGAGACACTTACCGGTTAATGATATCATTGCCCATGTCGACGTTGCATTCAAGGGCTTGAGTCACATCTCTGCAGACGTAGCAAGATCTGAAATAGCTGCAACCCTCAAAAACGCTAAGTTGCCACCCAGCAACATCAGCAAAGACGAACGTTTTGAATTATCTCAATTAAAAAAGAGGGATGATATTGTCGTCCTCTCAGCCGACAAAGGCAATGCCACTGTCATCATGGACAAAACAGAATATAACAACAAAATTCAAGAACTACTCAACGATGGCAGCTATACAAAAATAAAAAGAGATCCCACCAACAGCCTGGTCACCAAAACGAACAAAATAATCTCTGATTCAACAGCATTAATTGATAAGATCAAACAGTTCTCGTTGAAACCCTCTGCTGCCAGACCACCAAGATTATATGGCCTTCCAAAGATACACAAAGAAGATACACCCCTTCGTCCCATCGTCTCTACTATCAACTCCCCCACCTACAAACTGGCACGTTTTCTTGCTGATATACTGCGACCTTTCACTGGAAAAACCACCTCTGCGGTACTAAATTCTACTCACCTGGTATCGACAATCAAAGGCATTTCCCTGTCCCCAAACGACCTGCTTGTCAGTTTTGATGTGGTGTCCTTGTTCACCAAAGTCCCGGTACCTGACACCATCGCTATCATTGAAGACCTGGTTCATCAAGGACTGCATACTGATGTACCCCCCCTGGTGAGACATTGCTTAACCAACACATACTTCACCTGGAATGGAACTTTCTACAAACAAACTGAGGGCACCCCAATGGGCTCCCCCCTATCTCCGGTTGTAGCCAACGTATTCATGGAAAATTTTGAAACTGACCCCATCCAGACTGCCACTCTACGCCCGACCTTATGGAAGAGGTACGTTGATGACACCTTTGTCATCTGGCCACATGGCCAGCCTGCTCTAGACCAATTCCGCGACCACATCAATTCCATACACCCAGCCATCAGATTTACCATGGAGGTCGAAAAAGATGGCAAACTACCCTTTTTGGATGTCTTAATTAAAAGGAGACATGATGGTTCAATGAGCCACTCTGTCTACAGGAAAGCTACCCATACAGATGCTTACTTGAAACCGGATTCCCACCACCATCCATCCCAGAAGAACTCCCTCATCAAGACTCTATACCATAGAGCCCAATGCATTTCCGACCAGGAACACATTACCAGTGAACTCAAGCACGTACACCAGGCTCTCAGGGCTAATGGATACTCCGACTACACAATCCGCAAAGCCATCACTCCAGTCATGAAGAAGGATCCTCTTGTGGAGCCACTCAAAACCATCACCTTACCCTCATTGCAGGGGTCACTAAAAAGATCTCCAAAATCCTGAATAAACACAAGATCCAGGTCCGATTCAACACAGTACATAAAATCCGTGATTTAGTTCCATCTGTAAAAGATGCTGTTCCAGACATACAGTACCCGGGCGTTTACAAACTAAAGTGCCTCTGTGGTAGTAGCTACATTGGAGAAACCAAAAGACATATCTCGGACCGCATCCGCGAACATAAAGCAGACTTGAAACATGGTAGGAAGAACTCCTCTGCCGTGGCAGATCACTGTTATAATTCAGTGGGCTCACATGACATTGACTTCTCCAAGACGGAGGTTCGTTGCAAACCAACCGGCTACCATGAGAGATTCGTTCATGAGGCCATTCACATATACAAGCACAGAGACAATTTCAACCGAGAAGATGGATTCTGGCTTAGTAACCACTGGAAAGATGTTTTAAATCATTTCTGTTCTTAATTAATTGTATTTTTACGATGACCTTCAGACCGCAGCTCTTTCGCCAGCATTGCCTCTTAATACCTCTCACACCACGGTTAATGGTATGGTTTACAACATGGAGTATACTAGGGCCTCGCAGCTGTCTCTCTCCCCCTCCTCTGTTCCGACCATGGACGAACTCGTCCGTCTGAACGGGGCCCGTAGCTATCCGTGGTGCTAAAGTTGAGGGTAAGAATCCACCCATTTTTTCGCCATATAGCATTGTGATTTATAACGACTTATTGTTGGTAGCTTAGCTGATTGGAGAATATAGAGTTTATTGATAACATTAAGGTAATTTATATTTTAGTTTTTATTGGTTCACTATATAGTACTGTGAATAGCTCAGATGTGTAGGCCTTGACTTCAACATAGTAATTTCTGTGACCAGTCACTAGCTAATCACTCAGTTATTTCAATGCTAATTCGCCTAGTTATTTCAATGCTAAATTCTCCTGTTTGATTTGTACTAAGTGCCTCGGTGAATGTGTATGGTCTGACTTTAACGTAGCTATTTCTGTGAGCAGTTACAAGCTAATCACTCAGCTATTTCAATGCTAAATTCTATGCTAATTCCATTGTCAAGGGGTGCCTCTGCGGATGTGTATGCTTTAACTTAGCTATTTCAGTGCTAAATTCTATGCTAATTCCATTGTCAAGGGGTGCCTCTGCGGATGTGTATGCTTTAACTTTTAACATAACTATTTCTGTGACCAGTCACAAGCTAATCATTCAGCCATTTCAATGCTAAATTCTATGCTAATTCCTTTGTCAAGGCGCTTTGTTCCTCTCACACAGCTTAAAGGCCGTGATCTGAACGTGGCTCTTTCACTCCAGCGCTGTCCTACCAGACAGTCTCGTCCCTTCACCTGATGAAGGCCACTTGTGTTGTGGCCAAAACGTCGTGAGAATATCATTGTGTTATTTTATTTTATCAATTTATTATTTTATTCTCATTCTACGTGACTTTACCGAAAGAACCAAAGAAGACGTACTAAATCACTGTAGTAAACCACCAATAACGCTTCTGAAAAACAAACGAACGTTGAAAAGCATGACGGAAACCCCCGCATTACGTCGTCTCCCTTGTGATTGCGTACTCAATAAAAACCTGAATCGTAATCGCTCTCCTTTCACCTCTCTCTCCACTCGTCCCGCTGATGCACGCGACGCCCCAGGCGTGTGGAGAAAACTTGGGCACGTGCTTCCACGCGAATCCAAATCGGTTTTGTGAACGCCATTCATTGACGCGGGGAAGAGTCAAATCTGAGATGTTTGGCCAATGTCTCACGTAAAGTTGTATCACTCATCTCTTTATTTTTGCGTGCGAACGCCCGGAGAAAGGCCCAATGCATGTGAACGATTGCACTTATCGAGTGCAGATGGCGAAGCTCTGAGAGTGCTTGCTCGTGTAACACATTCTCCTGCGGAGGGAGCTGGTAGGGACGTTGCGTTGCTCGGTCAATGGCCAGGGTCACACGGCGGCACCACGTGGTGGTGTATTCCGCACAATATGCCCGACTGCGAGGGCGGGCACAAGCCACGGTGACCCCGGCCCGTAAAGCCTCGGACTCGATTTCAAATTCCGCCTCCAGGAGGAGTTCCTCGTGCGCACTCACGCGGCGGCGGCGGGGTGTAAGCAACCTGCGTTGGTCTCAACGTGAAAGGGGCATTTTGTTATTATTTTGATAAAAGGGCCTCGCTGTTAACGAGCTGTACGCATCCGAATGGACTAACAGTAAGCGCACGATTTTCAGCTCGTACTTCAAAAGTTATCGCACGATCTGACCGTAAAAAAAATACAACTATCGTTTTTAAACCAGGCCTTTAAACAGTCGGTGTCTAAAGCCCTGGGCTGTTGTTTAAAATCAAACAAAACAAAAGCGAAGCCTCTCACAAAACCCGCAACAACAACAACAAAACAGCAGCACACAGAGGCGGGCCCAGAGCCCATCGGAGCCGGTCCCACGCAGGGGACCTCACGGCCTGAAGCACGCGGTGACGAGCGAGTCACGGTACCCCCCCCTCCCAGGGTCTCCACGTACCCCCCCCCCCAGGGTCTCCACGTACCCCCCCCAGGGTCTCCACGTACCCCCCCCAGGGTCTCCACGTACCCCCCCCAGGGTCTCCATGTACCCCCCCCCAGGGTCTCCACGTACCCCCCCAGGGTCTCCACGTACCCCCCCAGGGTCTCCACGTACCCCCCCACCAGGGTCTCCACGTACCCCCCCAGTGTCTCCACGTACCCCCCCCGGGTCTCCACGTACCCCCCCAGGGTCTCCACGTACCCCCCCAGGGTCTCCACGTACCCCCCCAGGGTCTCCACGTACCCCCCCAGGGTCTCCACGTACCCCCCAGGGTCTCCACGTACCCCCCCAGGGTCTCCACGTACCCCCCCAGGGTCTCCACGTACCCCCCCAGGGTCTCTACGTACCCCCCCAGGGTCTCCACGTACCCCCCCAGGGTCTCCACGTACCCCCCCAGGGTCTCCACGTACCCCCCCAGGGTCTCCACGTACCCCCCCAGGGTCTCCACGTACCCCCCCAGGGTCTCCACGTACCCCCCCAGGGTCTCCACGTACCCCCCCAGGGTCTCCACGTACCCCCGGTTGAGAACCAATGAGAAGGAGGGGCAATCTTGAGTCTATTGGTGAGGACCTCCCACCAGCGGTGGCGTGAGCAGGAAATTCCAGGGCTGCGCCTTTCACCAATTTACCGAGACGTGTAAGGTTGGTGGACGTGAGTGTGCATGTTCACGTGAGTGTGCGTTCACGCGTGAGTGTTCGCGTGAGTGTGCGTTCACGCGTGATTTTGCGTGTTCACGTGAGTGTGCGTTCACGCGTGAGTGTGAGTGTTCCTGTGAGTGTGCGTGTTCACGTGAGTGTGCGTGTTCGCGTGAGTGTGCGTTCACGCGTGAGTGTGCGTTCACGCGTGAGTGTGCGTTCACGCGTGAGTGTGCGTTCACGCGTGAGTGTGCGTGTTCACGTGAGTGCGTGTTCGCGTGAGTGTGCGTGTTCGTGTGAGTGTGCGTTCACGCGTGAGTGTGCGTGTTCGCGTGAGTGTGCGTGTTCGCGTGAGTGTGCGTTCACGCGTGAGTGTGCGTTCACGCGTGAGTGTGCGTGTTCGTGTGAGTGTGCGTGTTCGCGTGAGTGTGCGTGTTCGCGTGAGTGTGCGTGTTCGTGTGAGTGTGCGTGTTCGTGTGAGTGTGCGTGTTCGCGTGAGTGTGCGTGTTCACGTGAGTGTGCGTGTTCGTGTGAGTGTGCGTTCACGCGTGAGTGTGCGTGTTCGTGTGAGTGTGCGTGTTCGTGTGCGTTCACGCGTGAGTGTGCGTGTTCGTGTGAGTGTGCGTTCACGCGTGAGTGTGCGTGTTCGTGTGAGTGTGAGTGTTCGCGTGAGTGTGCGTGTTCACGTGAGTGTGCGTGTTCGCGTGAGTGTGCGTGTTCGCGTGAGTGTGCGTTCACGCGTGAGTGTGCGTGTTCGTGTGAGTGTGCGTGTTCGTGTGCGTTAACGCGTGAGTGTGCATGTTCGTGTGAGTGTGCGTGTTCGCGTGAGTGTGCGTGTTCGTGTGAGTGTGCGTGTTCGTGTGCGTTAACGCGTGAGTGTGCATGTTCGTGTGAGTGTGCGTGTTCGCGTGAGTGTGCGTGTTCACGTGAGTGCGTGTTCACGTGAGTGTGCGTGTTCGCGTGAGTGTGCGTGTTCGCGTGAGTGTGCGTGTTCGTGTGAGTGTGCGTGTTCGTGTGAGTGTGCGTTCACGCGTGAGTGTGCGTGTTCGTGTGAGTGTGCGTGTTCGTGTGCGTTCACGCGTGAGTGTGCGTGTTCGTGTGAGTGTGCGTGTTCGCGTGAGTGTGCGTGTTCACGTGAGTGCGTGTTCACGTGAGTGTGCGTGTTCGCGTGAGTGTGCGTGTTCGCGTGAGTGTGCGTGTTCGCGTGAGTGTGCGTTCACGCGTGAGTGTGCGTGTTCGTGTGAGTGTGCGTGTTTGCGTGAGTGTGCGTGTTCACGTGAGTGTGCGTGTTCACGTGAGTGTGCGTGTTCGTGTGAGTGTGCGTGTTTGCGTGAGTGTGCGTGTTCACGTGAGTGTGCGTGTTCGCGTGAGTGTGCGTGTTCGTGTGAGTGTGCGTTCACGCGTGAGTGTGCGTGTTCGTGTGAGTGTGCATGTTCGCGTGAGTGTGCGTTCACGTGTGCGTGCGTCGTTGACAACTACCTGCGGATTGCACAGTTGGTATCGGCGTGACGGTCCCGTGCATAAGTTATTGGCTCCCAAGGCGAGCAGACGCCTGCCAGGAAACAGGGGATCACTTTAAACTTTTACCCAGCACAGGCAGCAAAACAAAAAGTAAAAAAACTAAAAACCGCGTCGGATCTGAACGCGCGCACGCCAAGCAAGCAGGGGGCTGGAGCTAGGGCTGCCACCTTCTCCGCTGTGGACCAAACCTGGCCACGTTTCCCAGCGGCCACTCAGCTCGACAATCGAAACTGTGCAATTGTCCCGCGAGTACATTTGGCAAGATCATTACGTGACCTAACACCCCCCTCCCCCCCCCCCCCCAAAAAAAAAAGTAACCGTGAATTATTGTTCACAAACAAAATGCAGCAGATGTGGGTACAGGTCACGCCAACACAACGCGTGCCCAATTTCCCAGAGTGTGACCGGGTCAAACTTGGCCGGGTGGCAACCCTAGCCGAACGACAGGACGGGGACACAGTCGAGACAAATTGAAGCGCACGCCGCACAGATGAAGACCCGACTGCTCGCTCCGCGCAGCTTTGTTCAGCGAGGACCTCTGAATGCTGGGCAGGCACGCGGACCAGGGGCTGTTCTGTCCAGCACCGTGCCCATCGTTACCTAACCAGTGCCGATGCTCGTGATGCCATGGGAATAGGTCATCGTTTTAGGCCGAGTTAACCTAGGGGTGATGCTGCTGTGCTGTAACGGTTAGCACACTGGGCTCAGGAAGGTGCGTTTAGAGTGTTTTTTGAGTATTTGTCTGCGATAAATGTCCACGTGATGAGCCACTTCGTTGAGCCGTCATTCGTGGCCAGGTGGCTTCTGAAAAGGAAGCTGATAGCTCAGTGGGCCTTACCTGATTAAGGCAAATGTTGTTTAAGTTTCCGTAGTGTTTTCTAGTTATGTGTTTACCTTTCCTACACTTTGTCACTCCTGCCGTGGTTTGTACTGTTTGTTGTTGTAACGTTCTGACCTGCCCCCACTGGACATATGTGAAAAAGAGCTTTACAGCTCATCGGATTCCTCCAGTATAAATACATATTCTATGATTCTGCTGATGCTCATGACGCCATTGGAATAAGTTATCAATTTAGTCTGAGTCAACCTATGGGTGATGCTGTTGTGCTGTGATGGTTAGCACACTGGACTTGCAATCCAGAGTTGGCCGGTTCGATGGCGCAAGTTTCTTCAATTCTGCAGCTACTGGGCCCTCTGACCACCCCCGCGGTGAGAATGGGTTCCACACGCTTAGTCTATTAGCAGCTCCACGAGCGGTGGGGGTTAAAGGGTGGTGGATAATCCCACGTCTTCCAGAGTAGGCCAACCACCTTATTATAAGTAGGCCAACCACCAGAGTAGGCCAACCACCTTATTATGAGTAGGCCAACCACCAGGTCAACCACCAGAGTAGGCCAACCACCTTATTATAAGTAGGCCAACCACCAGAGTAGGCCAACCACCTTATTATGAGTAGGCCAACCACCAGGTCAACCACCAGAGTAGGCCAACCACCTTATTATAAGTAGGCCAACCACCAGAGTAGGCCAACCACCTTATTATAAGTAGGCCAACCACCAGAGTAGGCCAACCACCTTATTATAAGTAGGCCAACCACCAGAGTAGGCCAACCACCTTATTATGAGTAGGCCAACCACCAGAGTAGGCCAACCACCTTATTATAAGTAGGCCAACCACCAGAGTAGGCCAACCACCTTATTATGAGTAGGCCAACCACCAGGTCAACCACCAGAGTAGGCCAACCACCTTATTATAAGTAGGCCAACCACCAGAGTAGGCCAACCACCTTATTATAAGTAGGCCAACCACCAGAGTAGGCCAACCACCTTATTATAAGTAGGCCAACCACCAGAGTAGGCCAACCACCTTATTATGAGTAGGCCAACCACCAGAGTAGGCCAACCACCTTATTATAAGTAGGCCAACCACCAGAGTAGGCCAACCACCTTATTATGAGTAGGCCAACCACCAGAGTAGGCCAACCACCTTATTATAAGTAGGCCAACCCCCAGAGTAGGCCAACCACCTTATTATAAGTAGGCCAACCACCAGAGTAGGCCAACCACCTTATTATGAGTAGGCTAACCACCAGAGTAGGCCAACCACCTTATTATAAGTAGGCCAACCACCAGAGTAGGCCAACCACCTCATTATGAGAGGGGTTCTCTGGAGTGGCCTCTATTGGCAGCCCTTTCACCAGCAGGGGCATGCGCAAGCACTTGCAGGGATGCCCCATTATATTTTATGTAAATACGGCATGCACGCAAAGGGGCGGCATCGTGCTCACTCGGGCGTCTTGACCTCCGCAGTGCGCCGATGTGTATGATGACATCGGACTAGGCAGCATTTTTTTCTTCATAATTTAAGGCTGAGTTGACCTAAGGGAGGCCCTGGCCAGGTTTTAATGGCAGCTGTATCTGGTGGCGTCCATTGACAGAAATCAAAACACGGGTGGCTGGTGTCGAGCAGCATCTTGATAATTAGGAATATCCTGGTAACTAGGTATAATCTTGCTAACTCGGAATAATCTTGTTAACTAGGAATTATCTTGTTAACTAGGAATTATCTTGTTAACTAGGAATTATCTTGTTAACTAGGAATTATCTTGTTAACTAGGAATTATCTTGTTAACTAGGAATTATCTTGCTAATGTAGCCGGACTGTCCTGTCCGTCTCCTCCCGTGAATCGGGTCACGATTCCATTCCGCGACAACACGGGATCCGTTTTTCTTTTTCCGCCAATGCGGCGCTGTAATCCAGTGCACGTTGTCCCGTTGCAGGTTGTGCAGCTGCACTCTGGGAGCTGGGAGGTTGCTTCTCTTCTGGAACAAACGGCTCCCGACGGCCGCTGGGCAGGTTAAAGACCGGATCCGGGACGTGCACCCCCCCGCCCCACACACACACAAACATCATCGCGGACAAACGCAGCTCCACCGCACTCTTGACGATGTTCACTCTCTGAGAAATAAGAGGAGCTTTTGCCCTTTCTGGTAATAAAACAGCAGGTGTTTACAGTGCCGGATTAAGCTAGTGTGTGGCCTGTAGCATATGTTATAAAAGGGCCTTAAATAATAAAAAAACAAGAAGACTCAACAGTCTGTTGAGGCTTATTTGTGTCGTTCCCCACACCTCCGATTAGCACGGTTGGCTGCGTAAGGTGCGAAAGAAGTTCAACATAGGCACATGTATTACATACGGGAGGATCCCTCTCTTTTTTCTTGGGGTCTCGTTAGCCAAGCCCCCCGCCTCCCCAGGGCTGCAGGGGTTTCCGTAACCCCACCGCACGCACAGCAACGCGAGCTGGTGGATGCGTACGCACGCAGTTGGGACGCGCGTGTCTGTGAGCGCACATCCGTTTGAGTTCACTGCGGCGGCTGACGAATGAGCTGGCGTGAACACGCGCAGACGCGGCTGACGCGCGTTGACCGCGTGACGCTGCGCACGATGTGCCTCGTGGGATTACAACGAAACATCTTCGTTCAGCGTCACGGTGTTTTTGTGTAGGTGCGTACAGAGTGACGCAACTGCGTGGAGTGGTGGTGCAGTGGTTAGCGCACTGCGCTCTGAACCCAGCAACCTGGCCAGGTTAACTCGAGATGTTAACTCCTTCGCTTGGTGTACAGGAGATCGTGGGTTACGATCCCCGACCCTGACGCCTGCTGCTGTATATTTGGAGTTTGCGTGTCTCCTCTCTCCCCGTGGTCATGTATATTTTTCTCTGGATGCTCCGGTTTTGCCGTGAAATTTAGAATCAAACGTCACGCGTTTAGAGCATTTGGCCGCTATACATTACCACGTGACAAGCCACTTCGTTACCACGTGATAAACCACTTCATTACCACGTGATAAACCACTTCATCGAGCTACCATTTGTGATGTCCAGGTGGATTCTGGAAAAGAGCTACGTGGCTCGGTGGACCTTACCTGGCAACATAAAAATTAGTTACATTTTATAGTTTAGCGCAGTTGGCTCCGTACGGTGCGAAAGAAGTTCAACGTGCATGCATGCGACGTCGTGCATACATTCGCGAAGGACACGGGTCACACTTCACATCCCCGCCTGGTGACCTTGAACGGGGGGGGGGGGGGCGCGTTATTACAGACACGCCGAGAGCCCGAGTTCGTAACACAGCAATCGTCATTGTGTTACCGCACGGGGACAATGTATAGACTACGCCCAAATCTGACAAGGATATGTTTTGACTGTTTGTCGGGGAGATGCGAGTCGTGATGTTGATGAAACACGAAACCCCCTCACCGCCGCCGCCGCTCCTCGTGATTTCAGTGCGGAGTTTTGATTGCGACTCAGCGATCGCTCGATTGCGTCCCCGAGAACGCGCCCGGCGTGCACGTTTCACGAGGAGGAATGCCCAAAATGGCACGGCGTGCCCGCAATGGGTAAAAAAAATGATCCCGGATGTTGTAGCCTCATTTACGCGGTTGAAGCGAGCGCAGTCAGGGCTGCCACCTTTTCCCACCCCGAGGGGACGAGACCCAGACGCGTTTCGCGGTCGGCACTTTGCCTGCCGTGCCAAAGCCGCGCGGCTTAGGGCCGTGGAGCCCAACAGAGGCACAGCAGTGGCCAGACCTCGGCACGAAACCAAACGCCGGCCGCCCGACGCGCCGACGCCAATTTCCTGGGTTCTACCGGGGCTCAAGCACGGTAAGGAGGCGGCCCTAAGCGGCAGTTGGCGAGCGCCTATTGGGCTCAGCAATACAGCACATGGGGAAACTGTGGGGCCAGAAGCACGACCGCCCTCCTCGTTGCCGGTGTTCACGCACTTTAGACCAGGCAGTCGCGTAAGACCGAATACCCCGGGTTCACCAGGCACTCAGCCTAACTGAGGAGCAGGATGAGTTCAGATGCCACGTGCCACTGACGTTATCCATGGACGGGAATCGAACACCGATCACCACTTCTAGTGCGCAGTAGCCGCTCAAGAGGCAGAACAACTCGGAGGTGCGAGGGGGAATCACGGATAAGCAGGAAAGGCAGGCGCCAGGCGGTGAGCCGGCACCTCTATATATTGAGATGTTCTCAGCCAATTAATGAGTGTTCATATGTGGGAGGAAGCACCTGGAGCGGTCGTATGGTGGTGGTTAGCGCTACGCTGCGCGACGAACCCGGCCACCCGAGTTCGATTTCCGCTCACGGCCAACACCGGTGATGATTGTCTGAACCGGTCCTGGGCCTCCCGTAGGTCGACTCAGCCTCAAATGAGTACCCGACGCGGTGTGTAAACATCGCCACTCGCGAGACAAAGGCGGTCGGGCGTGGTGCTGGCCACCCACCCCCTCGTGCCGGCCTTCGTAGGTGCTCGCTAACAGCACTTGCCCCCATAGCCTGTTAACGCCGTACGGGGGAATTTTTTGTCTTTTTTGTGTTGATGATGACAATAAACGAATGATTATAAACTACATCGCGTGAAGCTGATCACAAGGAAGTGCGAGACGTAAGTTGGCGGAGTGGTATTCAAGCCTGACAGAGCATACGCCCTGTTCGCTTCTCCATTCTCTCTACAAAGAAGGTTTCAATTGACTGCACTGCGCCTTGAATGGAATCAATAATGAATCTGACGAAACAAATACCACTTTGCCTTTGTGTTTCTCCATGAACCTCCCGTGTACTTTTAAATCTAGATTAAACACTCACGTCTTTAGAACTGCTTTCAGTGTTTGTTGTCCTTAGCCCCGCACCCCCGATTAGCGCCGTTGGCTACGTACGGTGCGAAAGAAGTTCAAGGTCTGTCTGCACGCATGCACTTCTTTAGCGCCGTTACGTAGCCAATCGTGCGAATCGGTGGTGCGGGTCAAGGGCAAGAAACGTCCTTCAAGAGGATAGAGGAGGGAGAGAAATACGAACGCACATCATCGATTTCTGAAAATCTAGTCCCGAAAATTGATGTTGCTCACACACGTGTATAAATCAGCAGCCCGTCCTAATAAAAATTTATGTTGCTCACACACGTGTATAAATCAGCAGCCCGTCCTAATAAAAATTGATGCTGCTCACACACGTGTATAAATCAGCAGCCTGTCCTAATAAAGGACTCAAAGCACACGAAGGCCTCTCTATTTTAGCCCAGCCGACACCAAAAAAGCTTTCTGCTCGCGCGGTACCGCTCACAGACTGTAATGTAACATTCAAACATTGAAATAAAATGTAGTAAGAGCCCTTGCTATTTTATTAGTCTGTCCACCAAATATGCAGGAACTGGTCATTAAGTATTGGCTGTTGAATTCCCTCAAGAAGCTTTTCTTCCTTCCATACTTCTGGTTTATTTCCTTGTAAGGCACGTACGTGTGTGTGTGTAAGTGTGTGTGTAGGTGTGTACGTGTGTGTAGGTGTGTGTAAGTGTGTGTGTGTAAGTGTGTACGTGTGTGTGTAAGTGTGTGTGTGTACGTGTGTGGGTGTGTGTAAGTGTGTGTGTGTAGGTGTGTACGTGTGTGTGTGTACGTGTGTGTGTGTACGTGTGTGTGTGTAAGTGTGTACGTGTGTGTGTAAGTGTGTAAGTGTGTGTGTGTAAGTGTGTACGTGTGTGTGTACGTGTGTGTGTACGTGTGTGTAAGTGTGTACGTGTGTGTGTGTGTGTGTACGTGTGTGTGTGTAAGTGTGTACGTGTGTAAGTGTGTACGTGTGTGTGTAGGTGTGTACGTGTGTTGTGTAAGTGTGTACGTGTGTGTGTAAGTGTGTACGTGCGTGTGTAAGTGTGTACGTGTGTGTGTAAGTGTGTACGTGTGTGTACGTGTGTGTGTGTGTAGGTGTGTACGTGTGTGTGTGTAAGTGTGTACGTGTGTGTGTGTGTAAGTGTGTGTAAGTGTGTGTAAGTGTGTACGTGTGTGTGTGTGTAAGTGTGTACGTGTGTGTGTGTGTACGTGCGTGTGTAAGTGTGTACGTGTGTGTGTGTGTGTGTAAGTGTGTACGTGTGTGTGTGTAAGTGTGTACGTGCGTGTGTAAGTGTGTACGTGTGTGTGTAAGTGTGTACGTGCGTGTGTAAGTGTGTACGTGTGTGTGTAAGTGTGTACGTGTGTTTGTGTGTGTGTGCAAGTGTGTACGTGTGTGTGTAGGTGTGTACGTGTGTGTGTAAGTGTGTACGTGTAAGTGTGTACGTGTGTGTGTGTACGTGTGTGTAAGTGTGTACGTGTGTGTGTGTAAGTGTGTACGTATGTGTACGTGTGTGTAAGTGTGTGTAAGTGTGTACGTGTGTGTGTGTAAGTGTGTACGTGTGTGTGTGTGTACGTGTGTGTGTGTACGTGTGTGTAGGTGTGTGTGTGTAAGTGTGTACGTGTGTGTGTAAGTGTGTGTAAGTGTGTACGTGTGTGTAAGTGTGTACGTGTGTGTGTGTGAGTGTGTACGTGTGTGTTTATTGCTGTGGGGGAGCGGCAGTGTAGTGGTTCACGTCCCGCGCTACTAACCCCGCAACTGGAGTTCGATTCCCGCTCACGGCCAACACTAGTAGTGATGATAACCTGAAACTATCCTGGCCGTCGAAATGAGCACCTGGTGCTGTGTGTAATCATCGGCACTAGGGAGGCAAAGGTGGCCAGGCGTAGTGCCGGCCACCCGGCTACCCCCCCTACCACCATCCTCCGCGTGCCGTGCCGGCCCTAATAGGTGCTGCTCGAGAACAGCACTTGCCCCAAGAGTCTGCTAAGTCTACATGGGGGATCTTTGTCTTGTGTGTATTTATCAGCCTCAATAAGAAAGTGTGTGCTTTGGCAAGACCTGCCCAGTGTGCGTGTAAGTGTGTACGTGTGTGTGTATGTAAGTGTACGAGTATGTGTGTTGTTTATTGTTGTGCTGGGCAGAACTGGGTCCACCAAAGATTCGACCGGCAATCATTTATGAAACTTTCTGAACGACTTTTAAAAGGCAGGCGAGTGTGTGTGTCGGTTATTTAGAGCCGAGGATATTTGGCTGGGCCAGTGGCACACGATGGCCTGGTCGTATACAACTGCAGGGTTCTGTGCAAGTGCAAACTAATTGCTCAGCTTTGCCCAACATTGGCGGTTGTTGAAAAATAAAACATCGGGAATGTTTTATTTCCATTCGCACTACTCGATGAACATCACATCTCGCCACAGTGGCGAGACGTTTAGTGCCTTGCCTGCTATACAGGGAGTCGTGGTGTCGATCCCGACCTTGATGCAGGTATATTTGGAGTTTGCGGTGTCTCTCCACCCCATTCACAAACAACATCACACGTTCAGAGTAGTTGGCTGCCATCAATGTCCACGCGATGAAAAGCCGCTTCCTCGAGCTATCATTTGTGTATCCCCGGTGGCTTCTGAAAAAAAAATAACTACACAGCTCAGTGTGGGCCTTCCGTGGTCAAAAAGAAAATTCGTTTTTCGCTCGATAGTTGGCGTTATTTACCCTCCGCCGAGTCGCTGCTGCAGGCAATGGCGTTCCTGGGACATGATGCCTCCTCCGCACGTCCGCGAGCAGCCCACCCACGTGCTCCACTCGCCCCACCACTGCGCCATCGCCTCCAGCTGTGTCCTGGACGGAGAGCTGTCGTCTCCCTCCTGCCGGAACGAGGACGCACCTCCCGGTTAGAGCGCTTGGCTACGGACGGTGCCAAAAACAAGTTCAACGTGCACACACGCACACACGCGTACGTACTGGAATTGGGCAGCGGCCGGATAGCCGAAGAGTGATCCATGCTTTGCCAACGCCGGATAACCGGACGACGGATAACCGGACCACAGATAACCGGGCCACAGATAACGGGACCACAGGTAACCGGGCCACTAATTACCGTATCATGGATAACCTGACCACAGATATCGAGCCCACGGATAACCGGACCATGAATAACCGAACCACAGATGACCGGAACACTGCTGTATTTGCAAAATTGTGCCATAATTAATAATTATCACTGTCATCAGAATCACCGTCATCAATTTAAGCAGCAGCATGGAATAACTTTTGTTATTTTCCCCAAATTGTATCCCGATTGTGTCACGAGACAAAGTTTCCGTTCTGATCTCTCGCAAAGGAGAATGGCGCAGGGAAGTGGATATCACAGAGCTACCTCTAAAATCCATTCAAGTGACCCACTGGTCCACACACAGTGAAGGGCATCACTCACCCACCCGCTGTGCCATCTGAGAGCAAAGTTCATCACATGGCAGGCAAACTGCATCAGCAGCTTATTGAGGTCACCATCATCATCAATTGCAGCAGCAGCAGAAGCAACATTTTCATGTCACCATCACCGTCGTCATCATCATCATCAATGTCTTCATCATCAGCAGTAACCCGTGGGAGCAGACACAGCAGAGGCATTTCTAACTTCGTCGTCATCGTCATCATCGTCGGCGGCAGTGACGTGGCACGGTGGTGGCGTGATCGCCGCCTGTTGCAGAGGTTCGCGTTCCGAATCTGGTGGAGCGCCCTGGTTATTAATGACGCGTGTGTTCACCGTAAAAAAACAACACGCCATCTGCTCCACAAAGTGGACTTTGTAGATCCCACAAATTTACCAAATTTGAAAAATGATCACACTGAAAATTACGGCACGCAGCAACTATCCCCCCCCCCCCCCACCTAACTGGCAGACTAATCCCCACTTTGCAGGCGACGTTATCGGTCACCCTGCGCCACCCAGGGACAGCTGCCACTGGGGGTGCCCCTACGAGCGTGCGGCGACGCACCTCGCGTCGGCGGCGCTGTGGAGCGTCGCGGGCGACAGCGCTCCGAGACGTCCAGGCGGAGGGAAGAGGCGGGCGCCACCAAGAACGAATCGACGCTCACCGTCAACGTGGAACACAAACACATACGTCGCCGTTATCGTGAATGGTGGTCGAGATGAGGCACCGACCGGCAGTTTGAGTCCTCCGAGCCCGTCGGCGTGAACGCCGTGCAGCAGGAGGCCCAGGAGGAGGACTCCGGAGCCGGTGAGAAGCCCCATGCCGGATTCTAACAGCAGCAGCAGCAGCAGAAGGGACAAAGGTTCCTCATTAAGCCTCCATGTGGCACATCGCACGGTGCGTACGCTCAACTTCTTTCGCACCGTACGCAGACAACCGTGCTAATCGCAGGTCCGGGGGAAAGTCAACGGACTGAACACAAAAAGCAGTTCTAGAGAAATTAGTTTGTCAACCTAGACGATTTCAAAGTGCACAGCTCCAGTGGCTTCCTAATATCGGAAGGGAAGAGCGTTCCAGACGGCCGCAGAAGCGCATCTGAAAACACCGCGCGATGCGGTGACCACAGCCTTTGTGCGATGGCAGCAGCCAAAACGCCGCTTTTTCGAGAATGACCACCGGAGGAGTTTGCGTGATGATGGTTCGTGTTCCTTGACGAGATCAGCGAGGTGTCGTGGTTCATCTGCGGCGAGCACTTTGTGTGCGTAACGAGCGCCACCTCATAACAACGGAACCGTTCGGCGAAAATCAAAGAAATAGACAAAGATCCGCCGTGTAGCCTTGGACAGACTGTGGGGGCAAGTGCCGTTAGCGACCGCCTCCTGCGCACAGACTCGCCACTGAAATCCGGCGTGGCACACAACGGGGGTCGGTGGTCAGCACCGTGCCGGTTCACCTGTGGTGTCTGTCAACGCCGACGTTTACACACCGCACCAGGTACTCATTTATGGCTGAGTCGACCAAGGGGAGACCCCAGGGCCGGTTCAAATAATCGTCGCCGGCGTTGGCCGTGAGCGGGGTTCATCACGGGGTTCATCACGTGGTTCATCGCGGGGTTCATCGCGGGGTTCATCGCGGGGTTCATCGCGGGGTTCATCGCGGGGTTCATCGCGGGGTTCATCGCGTGGTTCATCGCGTGGTTCATCGCGGGGTTCATCGCGTGGTTCATCGCGGGGTTCATCGCGGGGTTCATCGCGGGGTTCATCGCGGGGTTCATCGCGTGATTCATCGCGGGGTTCATCGCGGGGTTCATCGGCGGGGTTCATCACGTGGTTCATCGCGTGGTTCATCGCGGGGTTCATCGCGTGGTTCATCGCGGGGTTCATCGCGTGGTTCATCGCGTGGTTCATCGCGAGGTTCATCGCGTGGTTCATCGCGAGGTTCATCGCGGGGTTCATTGCGCTGACTGTGGTGGCGGCACGCGTTGAGCTGTTTGTTACTTACACGGCGGGGGTGGGGGGGTAATTGAACGACAACTGGTTGACCGTTTTCCATAACCGGTAACCGCTTTCACAATGGCGAGCCGGTGGGTCACCGGTGTAGGTGCACCGATTGGCGCGTGCCGCCGTCGCCTCGCGGGCTGAGCGGTAAAGGCGCAGCCCCGCAGCGGCGGCTCGCTCACGCCGCTGCTGGCGGAAGGGTCTTGCCGCTCGAGCGAGGGTGTTTTTGGTCTCCTCTTCCACGCTGAGTAAACGTCTCAGAAGAAGTTGGGCGACCCCCTCTCCCCGCCACCACCACCACCACTCCTCTCTCCCCTCCCCCCCACCACGACACGTGTCAGTGCGGCGTGACCCATGTGGACGGCTGGGTGGGCCCCCGCGGCGCTGGGGAGTGGGGGAGACTCGCACGGTCGCCCCCCACTGTCGCTCCGGGAGGTGGGCTTGAACCCGTGGTCCCCTCTGGATCGCAGCCTCCCGTGGGCACAGGGCGGGCTGGTGTGGCCAGCACCCCGCACCCGGCCTGCTCTGTCCCCCCCCCCAGCGCTGATGCTTACACACAGCACCACTTGAGCTCTGTGCACTCATACATCATCGAGATTGAAAACTAATTTCTGTACAAACTGCTTGTGGTTGCGTTTCGTTTGGTTGTCCGTCCCCCGCGCCTCCGATTGGCACGTTTGGCTATGTACGGTGCGAAAGAAGTTCAACATACATACAGGGTAATTATTATTCAGGCTAAGTCGACCTAAGTGACGCCCATGATGGGTTTAAATAATCGCCTACTGATGTAAGGGCAAATATACACATAGGCGCGCACACAGATTCACATCAACAAAGATCCCCCGTGTAGCCTGTAATAGACTGTTGGGGGACGTGCTGGTACTCATTTAAGGCTGATCCCACCTTGGAGAAGTCCAGCACCAGTTGAGACATTGGTAATGGATGTTGGCTCTGAATGGGATTTTAACTCGGGTTCGTGGCACAGTCTGTTAACCAGGAAACACTACCGCTCGCCACACACACACACAAACACACCACACACACACACACAAACACACACCACACACACACACACCATATATATACACACACACACAAACACACACCACACACACACACAAACACACCACACACACACACACAAACACACACCACACACACACACACCATATATATACACACACACACAAACACACACCACACACACAAACACACAAAACACAAACACCATATATACACACACACAAACACACACCACACACACACACCATATATACACACACAAACACACACCATATATACACACGCGTGCACAAACACAAACTCACAAAGACACAAACATATATACAAACTGGCACATTGGAACACACAATGATGGTGAGTGGGGGGGGTGATGGTGAGTGGGGGGGGTGATTGTGAGTGGGGGGGGGGTGATGGTGAGTGGGGGTGATGGTGAGTGGGGGGGGGGTGATGGTGAGTGGGGGGGGGTGATGGTGAGTGGGGGGGGGGGGGGGGTGATGGTGAGTGGGGGGGGTGATGGTGAGTGGGGGGGGGGGGTGATGGTGAGTGGGGGGGGGGATGTGAGTGGGGGGGGGGGGTGATGGTGAGTGGGGGGGGGTGATGGTGAGTGGGGGGGTGATGGTGAGTGGGGGGGGGTGATGGTGAGTGGGGGGGGTGATGGTGAGTGGGGGGGTGATGGTGAGTGGGGGGGGGGGTGATGGTGAGTGGGGGGGTGATGGTGAGTGGGGGGGGGGGGTGATGGTGAGTGGGGGGGGGGGTGATGGTGAGTGGGGGGGGGGGTGGGGTGGGGGGG